CACTAGCACGGACATCCCTGAAGACACACTCTCAGAGTCCATAGGAATGAGGCACTTGTGTTGGGTGCATTGGGCACTGCTTCAGAAGAGTGGGGAGAAATTGGTGATCTAGGGCTCTTTGTTAATGATTCTTTGCCATTATATGCCACCTGGATCATAGCCAGGTGGCCTTGCTCTATACTGCTCATTCTGTAGCCCAGCTTTGAATTTGGGATTATTCTCGTCCAGGACCTTTATACCCATGGCTGCAGCTGGCCATCTGTCTTTGACTGGATACTGCTTCTGGGACCACGGGATCTATTCCAGGCATAGAGTCATAAGGGGGCTTTGACCTTGGTCAGAGATTGTAGCAGGGATGGGGATGATGAGAATGGAGATGGGGTTGGGCTTGGAGGAGGGATGGCATGGAGACAGATATGAGGATTGAGTTGGGAATGGGGATAGAGATGAAGTAGATTTAGGGATGGGGAAGGGAATAGAAGTGGGAATAGGAATGGAAAAGAGAATGGGGATGGAGGTGGAGAAGAAAAAAGATGGATGGAGATGGGAATGGAGGTGGGGATGGAGATGGGGATGGAGGTGGAGAAGAAAAAAAGTGGATGGAGATGGGGATGGAGGTGGGGATGGAGGTGGGGATGGAGTTGGAAAAGGAAAAGGATGGAGATGAGGATGGATGTGGGGATACAGGTGAGAATGGGACTGGAAAAGAAGGGAGAGATGGAAGTAGAGAAGAAGATGGGCACGGGGAAGACTGAGAGTAAGGGAAGGTGCTAGACCACGAGCCTAAGAAGCAGCAGTTTGTGGGGGAAAGAGTGCTGTGCGTAGTCAATGGAAGGGAAGAGAGGAAGAAGGGGGAGAGGATGACGTGTGGAGTGAAGCATCCCGAGGCAGCCAAGGACTCCCGGGTGTAGGCAGCTCCCCGACCACCTGCACTCAGAGCCCTCCGGCGGGCAACAGGAGGTGAGATGCAGAGTGACATGTTCCTAGGACACGGCAACTGAGGAATACGTTGATGCAGAGTGTGGGAAGCCTGGACTGTCCACGCCGATATTAGCAGCTCTGCCGTGTCCTGCTCCATACAACTGAAATCCGTTAGTGTCTTATGAGCTTGAGTAACTGTACATATTGCTAACACCTGCTCAGAAGTATAACGAGGGACAGGAACACAGTTCCCAATCAGGGTCTGTGTGGGTGGTATGCGTGACTTGGGTGCAGATCCCCAGAACGTACGTACGTGTGTGTGTGTGTGTGTGTGTGTGTGTGTGTGTGTGTGTGTGTGTG